GGGGGAGGGAGTTGCTTTATGCTGAATTCTTGTGGTGGGAGGAGGGAGGGAGTTCCTTTATGCTGAATTCTTTGGGTGGGAGGGGGGAGGGAGTTCCTTTATGCTGAATTCATTCCTTTACAAAAAAGATCTCCCGAGTCCCTTCAACTGTAGAACATTTTTCTCCCTAGTGGTTTTTTCTAGATGTGATTTGCTACTAGTGTACTGTTGTTTTCCCTACTGCTGTACAGTGTGTGTGCGTGCGTGCGTGTGTGTGCGTGTGTATGTGAGTGCGTGTGTTTGTGTGTCTGTGTGTGTGTTCCTGTGTTTTTGTGTGTTCATGCGTGTATGTGTGTCTGCGTCTGTATTTGTCTATGTGTGTACATGTGTGTGTGTGTGTGTGTGTGTGTGTGTGTCTGCGTCTGTATTTGTCTACATGTGTGTGTGTGACTGACTTGTGTTCGTGCGGCAGTTGTCATTGTTTTGTTTGTTTGTTTGTGACAACTGAGATCTTCTGATAGGAGCCAGCTTCCCGCTACATTTGTTCCCGTTCTTCAGTTGAGGATTTTGTTCCAGCACAATTTACCGCACCACCAACCCGCTGCACACCCTCCCCCCTTTTCACCCCACCCAGTGTTTTCCGTAGTCCAAGAAAACCCCTCAACTACCTTCTCCAGATAGAAGTTTGAGAGCGAAAAGAAGCTCTGATGAGGGGTTTTACTTGTAGCAATATTACAACTCCGTGTGGACCTAGCTTTTGATTTGAAAAATTGAAAGGAAAAAAAAAAAGAGAGAGAAACTTTTAATCGGTGTGCCTTTTTCTCAGCATGATGAGATGTTTTCTGTTCTGCCGTGTCAGCAGTTTTGTATGTTTGTTTGTTTGTACCTTTTTACGTTTGTACATTCGTATATTTGTACATTTGTACATTCGTATGTTTGTATGTTTCGTTACCTCCCTATAGACTACTGCTTGGTGTAAGCCTTGATCATACGCCATTTTTTAATAAGTGACGAATGATGACATCTTACACTGAGCAGTCGTAATGGAGTTTGTATAATTTTAGTGAGAGCCACGTTAATTTCCTTTATGCTAGTATAGATAGATTATCATCCTGCTTAGAAGTAGACTTGTGTCTTGATTATGTATTTTCTTTCAAGTTTTGCTGAAATATCATACTGTGTTTTAAAAAATTAGAGCAGTTTTTAAAAATCTTACTGATTTTTTCCAAGACTAAAAGGAAAATTGAAAATTGTAGTTGGTAAGAAAATTGTGTTTTCCAGCATTTTATTACTGTTCATGATAGTTTAGTGACTTGTATTTTGCACATATGGATGGCAAAATGTCTACTATTGTTGTACAAAAGGGTAGGATGTTCTTGAGAAATAGCGGGGGG